GTAAGTTTTCTTCATTCCCTTTTACCCTTTTTAAAATTGTTTCTCCTCTAGCTATGTGTTTTCAAACAGCTTGTCTTCAAGCTCAGATTTTTCTATTTGATAGATTCTGCTGTTGATATTCTCTATTGCATTTTTCATTTTGTTCATTGTATTTTTCAACTCCAGGATTTCAGTTTGTTTAATCTCTCAAGTCGTCTCTGATAAATTACTGAATTCTTCCCCTGTGTTTTATTGAAGTTCATTGAGTTTCCTTGAAACAGCTATTTTGAATTCTCTGAGACATCACACATTTCCATCACTTGAGGGTTGTTTCCTGGTGCCTTATTTTGTTTGTTTCATGAAATTATGGTTCCTAAATACTTTCTTAAAATTTTTCTTTGAGACAGAGTCTCACTCAATCTGTTGCCCAGGCTCGAGTGCAGTGGAGCGATCTTGGCTCACTGCAGCCTCTGCCTCCCAGGTTCAAGCAGTTTCCAACCTCAGCCTCCTGAGTAGCTGAGATTACAGGCATGTACTATCACTGCTGGCTAATTTTTATATTTTTAGTAGAGACAGGGTTTTACCATGTTAGACAGACTGGTCTTAAACTCCTGACCTCAGGTGATCCACCTACCTCAGCCTCCCAGTTGTTGGCGTGAGCCACTGTGCCCGATCCCTGAGTATTCTTCATGCCTTTGGCCTGCCACAACATCTGAACATTGAGGGATTAGCTGTTTATTCCCCGTTCACAGTCTGGTGGTGGTTTGTTCCTGTTCTTCCAGAAATTCTAAGCAGGGCAATTATTGTGTTCTCCGAGCCCTTGGCCACTATCACTGTTTCAGCACTAGATGGCACCATAAGCCCAGGTTTGCAGTGAATTCACAGTTGGTTTGTGTTCTGGCCCAGATCAACTAGGGGAGAGATTGGAGGGTAGTTTGTCTCTCTGGGTGTGTGAGTTTCCACCTGGGGCCAGGACACGTTAGGCACTGTGTCACTCTGCTCAGTGCTTGGGCCTCACCACGGCATGCTCCAAAACAACATTGTGTACCTGTTCCCTTCACCTCCTTTCAAGCATCAGTGTCTCCACACTGTGCTGCCTGGGGTTGAGGGAAGAGGTGGAGCAGGCAGTATTGTGGCCAGATGGCCACTGTAATGCTAGGTCACACCCGAAAACCACAGCTGCCAAGACAAGCACAGCACAGGGGTATGCTCAAGACCCATGCAACTATGGCCTGCCTGCTGCTGAGGTTTATTTGTGGCTCAAGGCCACTGCAGACATAGTGATGTAGCCCAGAGTCCCTTCCACTGAGGCCATGTCTCTCTGCCTGACACTGAAGTGAGTTCAGAGGCACGGTCTTTGGGTGCCAGCTTGGGGTCAGTGGGCCATCAGATTTTGCCCAGTGCGGAGTTTTACCATGGCAGGCTTGTCACCAAGTCAAGATCAAAGTCCTGCTTTTATATCCCTCTTTTTCCCCCAGTAGATGGAGTCAGTCTCCAAGCTGTGCTGCCTAGGGTTGGAAGAAGGATAATGGGGTCCCAGTCCTGCCACCAGGACTACTACATCCCTGGGGCACCAGCCAGGCCCATACCACTATAGCCTTCCTGCTGTTGAAGTTCACTCATGGCCTGAGGCTACTGTAGATGCCAGAACACAAGTCTGTCACACTAAGGCCACAGGTTTCCACATAGTAGCAGGATGGGTCCTTGTCTGCGTACCTTGGTCTGTGGTTAAGGGCCATAGGGTTCTGCCTGGTGTTGGGTTTTACCGCGGCAGGCCTAGTACTGAGCAACAAGTCAAAAGTCCTGCAGTCACTTCCTCTCCTTACCCCAAGTGGGCTGTATCTCTCTCTCTGTGTGCTGTGCTTATAGTTGGGGGAGAGGTGATTCAGGCATTGCACCTCTGTCTTTCCTCCCCGCTTCAGTTGATCTTTTCTTAGTAATGCTAAAGCCAGATACAGTAATCTCTGATCTGGTTCCTTGGCTCTTGTGAAGTTACTTTCATGCATAGATCACGTTCAAATTGATGTTTCTGTGGGGAGTCAGTCACTTGAGAGTCTTATTCTGCCATCTTGACTCTGCCTCTTCTCCAAATTCTATTTATCAGATAGAGGAAAGCATGAGTTCCTCAGCAGTGACAGGTTTTCCTTAATTCTAAAGGGAAAGTATTAAATAACATAATGGACAAGTCATTAAAAAACAAACAAACAAAAAAACTAATCTGGCAAGCATAAGCCCTGCCCTCAAATTGCTCATAGTCTTTGAAGAGTGATCAGATAAAAAAGGGGGTAACTGTTTCAATAAGATACACAATATCAGAGCACACAGAAGAGGCATTCAACTAAATTCTAAAGAAAGGCATTGGACAGGAAATTGTTTCCCAGGAAGAGTTGTTCTTGATCTTTGAAACAAAGTAAAAGTTAACAGGGCCAAGAAGAGACTTGAAAGAGATAAACTGAAGGAGAAAGGAGAGATGGTGCATACCAAAGGTGCAGCATGCTTAGTGGCTGAGCCAAGAGAGATGATTTCTTGAAGTAAAGTTTTATAATTTGATACAATTGGAGTTTAAGGAACAAAGTGCAAAGAAATGGGAGTTGAAGTAGGCAGTAAACGAAACTGTTAGGTATTTCTTCTGGCCTGTCAGAAATAGGAATAATTTCCTGAGATACTAAGAGTACCATGAACAAAGAAATTTTGCAGACCTCTGGCTTTGTACATAGTATTAAAGAACAAATCTGTGAAAGCGGTTCATAAAGTGTTTTCTGATGAATGTGTAAGGATTGAAACAAAAATATTTGGAGGAATGGAACTGGCTTAAACTAAACACTTTTTGCCTCAGTCCACTTTACCTGAAACTAGACAATAGGAATTTGGGATTTTATTCTTTGACAATAGGTATGGGCTAGTGTTTTTAACAACTAGCCAAGGGTAGACACTTAAACTTTGGAAGCCAAATGGATCGTACGACTTATATTCCATTATAAATACTGAAAAATCTAGACAGTATTTTGGCTCAGGTAGAAGATCATTGTTTATCTGTAGAGTGACAGATCAGAAATATAATTTCTAACAGGTGCAGGTGCAGATTACCTATTTTAGGAATTCTTAACCTAGGATCCATGGAACCTGGTAATTATACATAACAACGTTAAATTTTCTTTGTACTGTTTTTTGTTGGAGTTTCAAAGGAATTCTTAGCTAGAAACAGGCGGGGCATGTGATTCATGCCTATAAACCCAGCACTTTGGGAGGTCAAGGTGGGAGGATCACTTAGGCCAGGAGTTTGAAATCAGCCTGGACAACATGACAAAATCCCATCTCTACCAAAAAAAAAAAAAAGAGAGAGATGTTTATAGAAATCAACTAATCAACTGCTTCATATTTTGCATAATACACCTGCAGGCGTAAGGTAAATTGATATGAGAACAAAGACTAGATCCCATATCACCCATTGGCTCACTTTTTTCACTATTTTGCATGATACATAATTTTTAGAAATTAAGAATGAATGTAGAAAGTATTCACATCAACTTATTTATATGGGTGTGAGGAATTCTCAAAAAATTAAAGAATATCTTTGAATTAATGAGGTCTGTGATTCAAAGGTACAAAAAGGCTGCAGTGTTTCTTTTTCTTTTCCATGTCCTTCATAAACTCAAGTCCCCTCCCCAGAGGTAACCATTATCTGTGGTTTCTTGTGTTTCAGAATTTAAACATTTTAAATCCAATGGTATTATAGTAATGGACTTTGAAACAGTAAATGATATAGAAATAGCTAGAACATAACTTTGGTTGTTGTAAATGTAGATTAGCTGTGCTTAACTAATTGGATTTTCATTTTAAGGTGACTGTACTGTGTATTGTCTTAGCTTCCATCAATAGAACACAGTTTAGAGGTGTTCTCAAGTAATGATGCTTTTGTAGTGAGTCAACCAAATTACCAATTGGCATACTTAGTCTTGAAATAGACAGTTGGCCGTTCATGTCTGTGGATTCTTCATCTGCAGATTCAACCAATTGCAGATTGAAGTATTAGGGAAAAATAACAAATTAACTAGAAATAATACAAATAATACAGCATAGCAACTATTTACTTACCACTTGTATTGTGTATTATAAATAATTAGAGAGTAAAGTATGGGGTGTGTATTTAGATTATATGCAAATACTAAACCATTTTATATAAGTGATTTGGGCATCTTTAGATTGTGGTATATAGTGGGATCCTGGAACCAGCCTTCCACACATACCAAATGACAACTGTATAAATGGAGTTCTGAATATAGTTTTCCCAAGCCCTAGTACATTTAATTTTTTAACTAAAAAGTGGTCATAAGGATATCTATTTTGCCAGTATTATTTTTAAGAAGTTTCTTACAGAAGATAAAATTACTCACCTATTGAATTTTTTTATTTGTATAAATTTAAGGGATACAAGTGCAGTTTTGTTACATGAATATATTGTGTAGTGATGAAGTCTAGGCTTTTAGTGTTTACCTATAGAATTTAATAATACTTTTTATTTATTAAGTGACTACAGTGATCCAGTACTTGTATTTAGAACTTCATTTACAGCACTTGTGAATTATCACAATATCTCTAAAAGGTGGCCACTATTATTATTTAGATTTTGTAGACTATTAAAACTGAGTATTTGAAAAGTTAAGTAACTTGCCCAAGGTTCACAGTGTAGGAGCTGGGATCTAACGTGGGTTCCTAAGATACCAAAATCCGCTATCTTTATACAGCCTTTGTGTGTAGATGTGTTGTGTTCACTTTATTTTAATATAAATCTGTTTGTCAAGTAATGCTACTTAGTGAGTGGCCAGTGAGTTCTTGAATTTATTATTTTGTGTGGTTATAATAAAAGTCAATAAGTGGTTGGTCTGTTGCTTATTAAGGAGATAAATATAGTTAACTGTAATGTAATCAAGAAAGACTCCCTTAGGCTGAAAACACTGCATATTTACTGAGCAGCCAACTCTCCTAAACTCCCACATTTGTATGTTTATTTTTTTCTGTAGGGGGATTCCCGAAGTCTTCCGTTTTCTGAGAATGTGAGTGCTGTTCAAAAATTAGACTTTTCAGATACAGTGGTGCAACAGAAATTGGATGATATCAAGGATCGAATTAAGAGAGAAATAAGGAAAGAACTGAAAATCAAAGAAGGAGCTGAAAATCTGAGGAAAGTCACAACAGATAAAAAAAGTTTGGCTTATGTAGACAACATTTTGAAAAAATCAAATAAAAAATTAGAAGAACTTCATCACAAGCTACAGGAATTAAATGCACATATTGTTGTATCAGATCCAGAAGATATTACAGGTATAGTAGTGCTTTATTTGATGTTTATATGGTATATTTTAAAAAAATGTATCTTTTTAGAAAATAGTTTTGACTCATGAATAGTTTTTAGCTTTTCTGAAAGTACACAGACTTTTCTCTTTTGGTTAAGGTCTTATTTATATTCTGTTCAGAAGAGCAGAAGTTGATAGGTATGGAAATTGAAATGTTTAGTTAGAATTTAATAACCCTAATGTATTCTCTCTTACTCTCTGTTGGTAGGACATTACTTAGAGTGAGTCTCCAGTATTAATGTTTCATATTGAGTCAATCACGTGCTCTTACCTGATTCATCCTGTAATCAACAGCGCAAGTTTGCCAGCTGACTTAAAACTGTGTTCTTTGAACAAGAGATGGTTTTATTCTTTGCAGATATAATTAATCAGACCTATGGCCTTCATTCTTTGTGCTCTAAGCAACTGAATTAACAACTAAACTACTAGGCATAGTGTTCAAAAAGAAAAACACTATATGTGTTCACAGAGAAAAACAATAGAAAAAACTGTTACACATTACTTTTATTTTCTTTAAGCACAGAAAATAAAAGGGAAAATATAACCTATGATTTCAATGTAAAAACATAATTTTTAAACAATAGAATTAATATTTATGTTGGAATATTTTTAATGGTACAGAAAGTAAAAATTAAAAAACCACCTCTTTCTTTCTTAGACCGTCTCCTTAAAGGTAACATTACTTTTTGTTGTATATCCTTCCAGATAAAAAAATTCTATGTTTGTGCCAGTATTCACCCATCAGTATGTATAGTCTTTCTTTAACTTTTTATACAAAAACTTATGTAAGATACATTTGGTCTTATCCTTGCAATAATAATTGCAAGGATATTTGCATTTGATTCAAGGTCTCAAGGCATTATCAATCTCTATAACTGTCAATTTTTTTATTTGCAAAGAAAAAGAGTATGAGAGTGTATAGAGTAATATAGCTATAGCATGGTAGAAAATTTAGAAGAACCTGTGTGATTAGCTAATAAATAATAGATGTAAGTAATTTTGATTTTGATTAAGAAAATACATAAATTTGGCTAAGAACCTTAAATATTTACCATCTCAAAAGTTGCAGAAAACGCTACTGATATTTAGTGTTCTTGTTAAAACTTGGTTTTCGACATCACTTTCAACATCTGGGATTTAGGGCTTTTATTAGGAGGCTCTCTATGTAGAGATTTCAACCTTGTAAGAATAATTGAAACTTTAAAATGAAAGAAGCAATAGGAAACCCAGCTTCTAATTTTAGATTGAAATAATCCCAAAGATGCAAATTAATTTTTTCAGAATCACCAATCTAGTTAAAAAGAACCCTTCAGCTCTTCATCTAGTATTCTTACATACTCAATAATTATGTTATAAATGGAAATAATGTATTACGAAAATGCTGTTTTTAGTAATATTACATAAACTCAGAAATAGCCTGTTCCATGGAACTCTGCCAAACTCTAGGTTTTTTTTGGGTTTTTTTGTTTTGTTTTGTTTTTGCCTGTTACATCTTTAAGAGCAGTCTAAAATAAGAAACAGCACTGGAGCTTTAAACTCTGTTTATTTAGAGAAATTTTCCTCCTCACAGAATACTGATAACTACCTTGTGATTCACTGGAATATAGAAGAGTTTTATCAACACGAGGAGCCCATTTGGTTTCCCCATTCCTTTTGTAAAAGTTAACTTTACTGTGGCCGGGCACAGTGGCTCATGCCTGTAATCCTAGTACTTTGGGAAGCCAAGGCAGGCAGAGCACTTGAGGCCAGGAGTTCAAGACTAGCCAGGCCAACATGGTGAAACCCTGTCTCTACTAAAAATGTAAAAATTAGTTGACGTGGTGGCGTGTGCCTGTAGTTCCAGCTACTCAGGAGGCTGAGGCCTGAAAATTGCTTGAACCCAGGAAGCGGAGGTTGTGTTGAGCCAAGATTGTGCCACTGCACTCCAGCCTGGGCAACAGAGAGCAATTCTGTCTCAAAAAAAAATAATAATAAGTTTATTGAAGTATAAATTACATATGACAAAATACACATATTTTAAGTACATGCTTTAATGATTTTTAATAAATGTGTGTGTGCACCCAGCTAACCATCTCTACAATCGATCCAGAACATTTTCATCACTTCAGTGGTTCTCATATATTCCTTCCCAGCTAAACCATGATCCCCAACCCTGGCCATAGGAACCCACTGATCCATCTTCTATCACTTTAGATTGAAATTGTCTTTTCTAGTGTTTTATATAAAGAAATTACCTCCTTTAAGTCCTATCAAATTCCTGATCACCCTTAAAAACCAATTTTTAGGTATTACGATAAAACCTTCCATGACATTTTCTGCTCTATCTTCTCTGTGCTACTTTATCCATTCATTGTTGCATTGTAACGTATTTCTGTACGTGTTTATATCACTTACTAAACTGTCTTCTCCTTGAGGGGAGGGACATGTGTTCACTCATCTATTTTAAAGGCTTATTACAGAAACTGAAACATAGTAGGTGTTCACTTGTGAATATTATATCTCAAAATAGAAAAATACCCAGCAAATCCACATCTTATATTAGTCTTTAGAATTAGTATCAAAGCCTAATTATTATGACACTTGAAACATTAAATAACTTAGAAAACAAAGACTTAAGCCAGAAACTTATTATACTGACCATTTTTAATACTGACATTTCAGATAATTGGAGGGCAGATGATATATGAAATACAACTTTATACTGTGACTTCTTAATACTTCAGTTTGTTTAGACTTGATGAGTTCGTCAGATTTTTATTTTATTTTAAAAAATTCTGTTTGCAAATGGCACATTTACACAACTTGGTAATAAGTTATTTTTTTCTTTTTCCCATTTTACTAACTTAACAACATAAAAAGCAACAACCACAACATAGAGGATTAAAATTAATGTCATTAATTTTAGGCCAGTTTGCCATAAAATTTTAGATGTTTTACCTTGCACACTAAGGTAAACTTATTTTAGATTAGGTCTGGCAAGAAGATTCAAGGACATTGTACTTTGCTTTCAGTTCTGAAAGGTATGAGTGGATTTATAACAGAAGTGTTTGACTAATTCCTGTTGTCTTGTGGGTACATAAGCTTAGTAAGCAGAACAAATGACTTAAGGAAAGAGTGACAGAATTTAAATCTGCATTGTATAAGTCATTACTAAGTGGCAGGGGACTTGTTCTTTTTTGAGATGGAATCTCCCTTTGTCACTAGGCTGGAGTGCAGTGGTGCAATCTCGGCTCACTGCAACCTCCACCTCCCGCATTCAAGTGATCCTCCTGCCTCAGCCTCCCAAGTAGCTGGTACTACAGGCTCCACGCCACCAACCCCAGCTAATTTTTGTATTTTTAGTAGAGGCAGGGTTTCATCATGTTGGCCAGGATAGTCTTGATCTCTTGACCTTGTGATTCGCCCACCTTGGCTTCCCAAAGTGCTGGGATTACAGGCGTGAGCCAACCCGCCTGGCCAGGGACTTGCTCTTAATTCACCTCTGTAATAATGATCTCTTTGAATCTTTAGTTTATTGTTTGTAAAATAAGGATTTTTATCAGGTGAACTTTTAAACTATAAAACTGTGAAATATTCCTTATTGTAATGTCAAGGTCTGATTGTTTGAGAAAGTTATTTGTATAATAAATGTATTCATTCTTAATAGTAGTAGGAAATGAATTATTTATTTTCTCATCATGCCCATGATACTCTGAGCTTCTTGTTCATCTTCGATATACTTTAAAGATGATCATATGATTTTTGCCCATAAGATTATCCCCATAGGAGCAGAAAAATCATTTAAGAAAATTCAGCATTGTTTCATGATAAAAAATTCTGTGAACAAATTAGGTATAGAAGAAATGTTTCTCAACACAAGAAGGTCTATGTATGACAAGCCCACAATTAACATTGTACTTAATGGTGAAAAGCTGAAAGCTTTTCTTCTAAGATCAGGAACAAGATCAGGATGCCCACTCTCAACACTTCTTTTCAGCATAGTCTCTAATCCCTAGCTAGAGCACTTAGGCAAGAAAAAGAAATAAAAGATACACAAATAGGAAAGGAAGAAGTGAAATTGTCTGTTTGTGAACAACACAATCTTACATATATGTATAAAATTCTAACACCATAAAGCTGTTAGATCTAATAAAGGAATTCAGTCAAGTTGCAGGATATAAAATCAGCATACAAAAGTCAGTATCATTTCTATATACTAACTATATAATATCAGAACAAAATTAAAACAATCTCATTAATAGCATAAAACATACCTAGTAAATTTAACCAAGAATTGAAAGATCTCTGTATAGAAAACTATAAAACATTGATGAAAGAAATTGAAGATGGTACAAATAAATGGAAAAATCTCCTGTGTTCATGAATTGGAAGAATTAATATTGTTAAAATGTCCAGACTACCCAGTGTGATCTACAGATTCAAGGTAATTTGTATCAAAATCCCAACATCATTCTTCACAGAACTAGAAAAAAAAAATCCTAAAATTTGTATGGAATCAGAAAAGACTCTGCACCATCTTGAGCAAAAAGAACAAAACTAGAAGCATCACATTACCAAATTGCAAAATATTACAAAGCTATAGTAATCCAAACAGCATGGTAATGACATAAAAAATGGACTCATTAACCAATGGAATAGAAAAGAGAGCCCAGAAATAAACCCATGCAATTCAAGTCAATTGATTTTTGACAAATCTGCCGAGAACACATAGTGGGGACTAGAGAGTCTTCAATAAATGGTGTTGGAAAGACTGGATATCCACCTGCAGAAGAATGAAAATGGACCTTTATCTTACCCTTACACGTAATACCTTTATATCTTATACCTTTAAACCTTATACCTTTACACTTTATACCTTTATCTTACCTTATACATTTATAAGACTTAAATGTGAGTCATTAAACTATAAAACTGCTAGAAGAAAATATAGAGGGTAAACTCTTTGACGTTGATCAAGGCGGTGATTTC